TAGAGTGATTAGGTCGATTTGATTTGAAATTTTGCCAAACACGGGGAAAAGATTTATCGGTGAAATATACTTCTCACCAAAATATTTCTTGCACGAGAATCTACTCCTACACAAAGATATGACATATCTAGTAAAGAAATACATAAATAATACTTGTACAGGGAAAATGCACATGCCATATGTGCTGAGATGACAGTAACTACTGCTTTAACTACGATTTTGGTCCAAAATCCAATGAAATATTGGCATGTAAAATTTTGTAAATCCATTTGTGCATTTCCCCTGTAGATGTAGCATTACTCAACGAAATAACTATTTCGAAACAAATGTGTATGTGCCAATGCAGTGCCATCGAAGCACCTCATGTGTTCAACAATGCTGAAAGACATTAAGTCCCTGTTTGATGCACTTTTTTTAAAACTCGTTTTTTTTACATTCTCATTTTCAAACACATATTCACACAATAAAATATTTTACACGTAAACTCAAAATTTTTCCTTACTTTTTAAATACAAATTCTCCAAAAATTCACTATTCAAAATATTGTTTTTCCTAAATAAGTAGTAGAGCAAATTTCGAGGAGTTATGCAAAAGTCGAGTATGTTGGGCAAATCGAGTTAAGTATAGCATATTATGGCTTTTATGCACATACGTTCATTGATTTCTACCTATATCCTATTCTAAATTTTGATTATACTGCATTCTTAATCACCAAATACCTATATTGAACAACACGAGAAAAAAGATAGAACCTAAAAAAATTTATTGAAGTGTTTGGTATGCTAATAGTATACATTCATGCATTGCTTGCTACTTTGACAACGTAGACTGCATTGTACTGGAGATGGCCCTAAGAAGAAAATAAGTTAAATTTCATTCATTATTGTGTCTAAGTCGTGTTCAATAATGTATTACGTTGGGAATTTACCTATACGTGGAACGTGAAATTTAAAATGTTTTTCAATTCTTTTCAAAGATTGTCTTTGTGATTAGAATGAAATCATAATTAGAATTATACATTTGCCAAATCATTCAAACTCGTGTTAGAATCTTGATCGCGAACAATCACGATCTTTGCTCCTCCTTTTAAATCTTAATATACCACAATCTTTCCACATCACATATATCTAATTGTCCAGCCTCCAATAGTAATCCACACGAGAGAACATGAATGAGAGATTAAGATTCTCTTGTGCTAGCAAAATTATAATATTATAACGTTTGTTATGAAAATTTCAAACATTAGTAGTCTATTAATAGATATAAAAAATGCTCCTCATTCAGGCCAAAAAAAATAGGCCTAAAAACAGGGGACTGAGGTTGCACCCACCTCAGCCCTTGATTTTAATTGATTCAAAGGAAATCAAGGGCTTAGGTGCACCCACCTTAGCCCCCGGTTTTTAAGCCTGTCCCCATGCCTGGATCTGGAGCAAGCTTCAATAGATATTTAAGTGGACTTGGCCCACCCACTAATCATAAGTCAACCCATCAATCAATTAATTTAATTAAGGGAAAATTTCATAAACAAGAGATTAAGTATGATATATTTCAAAATTAAGAAAACAAGTTTCAAACTTCAAAAATCAGATTTTTATTAAAATATATTTATGATTTAATTTATTTATTTATTAATTAATTAATTAAATATATTTAGGTCACATATCCATACAATTTGGTCACAACTTAACAATTTAATTAGTCACTTATTATTTTTTGGTCACAAATCAAAAATTTTATGTCAAAAATTATTTTACGATCACAATTCAAAAATTTTATAGGTCACAATTTGTTCATTAGTCACAAATCAAAAAATTAATTAGTCACAGATTAATCTTTAGTCACAACTAATCAAATTATTAGTCACAGATCAAAAATTTTATAGGTCACATATTATTTTTAGATCACGAATAAAAAGATTTATAAGTCACGGGATAATTTTTTGTCACAGTTATCTAATTAATTAGTCACGAATTATTTTTTAGTCACAAATTATCAAATTATTGACCACAACTTATTTCTTGGTCACAAATCAAAATTTTTATAAGTCATGGGATAATTTTTTATTGCAAATTCACAAAATTTATAGGTCACATATTCAAAAATATTATTGATCACAACGTATTTACTCATTGCAAATTATTGAGTTAATTGGTCACGATTATTTTTTTCAATCATAATTTAATCAAAAGTGAGTCACAATCACAATTTTCAGGTCACGATTAACTTTTCGATCACAACTAAATCAATTGTGAGTCACAATCAGAGGTCGCAGTCACAATTATCAGGTCACATATCCAATTATTAATAGCAATCACGTAGATAATTGGTCACAACCATTCAAACGGTCACAGATCGAAAATCACAATTTACTTATAGGTCACATATCACTAATATTATAGGTCACAACAATCACAATTTTTTAATTTTTTAGGTCACACATTATTTTTTAGTCACAATTTATCTTTTTCATTGATCACGCATTATTTATTTTATTTATTAATCACTGATTAATCAATTCACTAGTCATAATTGACCAAATAATATGTGACCACTGCTTCCAACAACACTACCACCACCGTGACCACCACCACACTGTTCACAAATTATCCAATAAACAAATTTCAACTGTGAGTAACAGTCAAAGTCACAATTTTCATCGCCATCACCGTCACACACACAGAGCAATTGGGAATCACAAATAACTAAATGATTGGTCACAACGCCACCTCCTCAAGTTGCCGTCATTGCCTCCACACACCAACACCATAGGTAGACGATTGCCACCTCACGATTCACGGATTCAGCAACAATTCACAGATTCATTCCACAATAGATCTATCTCCATCATCTCAAACAAATCGGTGCACTTAGGCCCATCACACCACAACCACCACACAACAAAAAACCTCCAATCCCGACACCATCTCACCTCCCGTAGCCACCAGATCCACCATCATCCCCATCACACCACCGCCACCGCCACCAGATCGTACCAATGGAGGAACACCAGATCGCGCCATCACCACAGAGATCGCACCACAGTTTATAGGTCACTGCATATGTGCCTATCGCGGCGCTCGCCGGTACACCAGATCGCCACCACCTCGTTACCTCAAATGTCGCCCACGATAGCTGCACGCCATTCACTAGATCTGTGGCGCGACCACCCATTCACCACCACATATGCCGTGCCCAGCGACAGTGAGAGAGGTGTGAGGGTGGGTGATAGGGTGGGCGCGGCTGTAGACACCACCAAAAATATAGATAGCAGCAGCGCGAATGTTGACTCTCCATCCCGTACCAGCGCATCTCCTTCGTCGCCTGTTGCAGCAGCCATCGACACCCATTGCTGCGAGGTTTTCTCGGCGCCGGTAGAGAGAAGAGAATCGGTACAGAGAGAAAAGCCATCGACACCCATTGCTGCGAGGTTTTCTCGGTGCCAGTAGAGAGAAAAGAATCGATACAGAGAGAAAGTGGGTAGCAAGGGGATGGGGAGGGGGAGGAGACTTACGGGTGTGGGTAGGGTTCGATTTTCCCTTTTTATTAGTTTGTTTAAATAATTAATATAAAAAAAATCTGATTTTTGAATTATGAAAGTTCCACTCTTATTTTAGAATGTTGAATTTTTAAGGTAGGGTTTTGTGTAATTTCCTCTTTAATTAATGAAACTTGGCCGCATGAGCCCATTAACGAAAAAAACTCAATTGATTAATTCTAAAATGTCACACACTTGTCAATTAATTAATTATTAATATCATTCTTCTAGTTCTTTCTTTTGTATGTAACTCATTAAGTTCTCTATCACGATCTCGAACGACCTAAATTATTATTTTGATATAATCAAAATAAGATAAATTGGAAAGGGAAGTTTTAATTTATCATTAATTCACCTAAATTAATTGATTTACATTTGTCATCCCCTATTGTCATCTAGAAATGTGGCAGATCAATGCATGAACGAAAAATATCAAGTGGTGTAACAAAATTAAACTTGTTCATTTACCGTAAAAATATAATCCACTCATCAGCACGATTAAATCAATTACGAGATGTGAAGATGTGTTAATGTCGATTTATCGATCATATCTTTCGTCTCACTCTTAAGTTAATGATCATCGAGACCCTTTTCGACTTATGTATTTACCATAACGAAGGATTTCTGTATCAATTTAAGCTAATGAAACATAAATCATAATCTTTTACTAGTTAAGAATGATGAATCGTCAATTGATCATATAACCTTCGTAAAATTATTGACATATTCGAACAATGTCTTATTAGCGCTCTTGGCAAAGCAACATCCAACATCACCAAATTATAATTGTCCTCGTATAAAGCACTATGATGACCTTAAGACGAAGTACTAATTTCAAAACTAAACATTAGAGATTAATCATTGACACTAAGATAATTATCCATGTAAAATCTCTACAACATATCTCCAATGTTTTGTTCGCTTAACAAAACATTCACGCATATATTTAAACATTACTATATTTTAAATTGTGAGATCAGCTACTCACTTCATAAGTGAAAAATGCCATATATGTTGATCTATAACAATATTTGTATCTCGTTATTACTTACGATCACAAATAATTTAGGATTTAATCATATGTAATTTGTATTTCACAATCACAACTTATTGTAATTAACAAGTTACCAAGACTTGAATTTACGGACTCTATTAATTTAATTTGTCAAAATAATATATAATTCAATTAAATATAGATCTACCATAAATAAAATACATTAATTAAACATATTAAAAGTGTATAATATCCAAAATCTATTGGACTAAAATATAACACTTACATATTACCCACATCAACATGAAGTAGAAATCAAAACAGGGGGAGGACACTCACAGATTACTGATTCTGGGGTAGCATACCACGCGATGGCATTATAAACATATATAACTTTCAAGATGTATTGTCCCATTAACATGCCTAGGATATTGAATCTGGCTTCTATTTTCCATGTTTTAAGATGCTATGTTATAGGAATTTGACTATGAATATGAGAATAAAAGCTTCTACAGCATTTATGGCTACATTCATTATTCAAATCTTATCAAAACCCCAAATATTTGGATGAATGCTCTAATAAATACTCCAAAGCACTAGGAGCAAATTTCCTTGCAAAAAGGAAACAAAGGGACGTCGGCTGATTGTTATAAATGCACGGTTTACCTTCTGAAATTTTCTTGAAAAAATTCTCGTTTAGATCAGCTTTCCCGAACGTTGCAGGATGGGCCCCGCCCCTCGACCAGTCGACCCAGGTGAGGCTTCTATTTGCCAAGAGATGAGGAGATTGGATGCTAAGCATGGTCGGAAAATAGTGCTCGTCCACATAGCATGCAGGCCTGCAGAACTGCTCGAACTTGGGGTAGTAAACGCTATCTTGAACAATGTCAACAGCCAGTTTTCGACTGAGTTCAAACCATTGGGACCCTTTACGCCATTCCGTGAGGTTGACCTCAGGCGACATATTCTCGTTGTAGCGGCCTCTACCGTATGGACCGGATTCGTCAAATGCACCAATGAAACTGAATCGGGATCTTGATATGTACCGGTACACAATGCTAAAGTTTTGAAGAGGAATGCATGCTTCTGATAGAAGTACAAACCACTCGTTGGAAATATCAAGCAATGCATTAGCAAGAAGTCGCCTTTCACCATCACACATACTCATCCTTCCCCACTCTGCAACCTACAAGAAAAGAATGCATGGTGTTTTACAAAAAAGGTACACAACAAAAACCCTCTTCTGGTACCATATAAACTCAACAACTCGTGAATTGTTTGATAAAGTTTCACACAAAATCAAATCAGAGCAATCCTTAATCCAAACGCAAAACAGAATTCAGAATCTTTCCTATCATTTTGGATGAACTTTTAGTTCCCTTGACAAGTTTCCAATCATTTAACATAACTAAGCCAGGGCAGTTGCTGGCAATAAATACAATAACATTTTCAAATTCACTATATGATAACCAAGCCTCAAAGACCTTTGGGATTACATGGTCAACCTCAGCGTTTTGGAATAGAAAGTTAACACGGTCAATGAGCAAAACATGTCAAGGCTGAATGTTATTTCTAGATTGACATTTAGAGTTTATCAACTCTCAAGTCAACAAAAAATTATACAATAATTCTAGTTCAACGCCCCAAATAGAGTCTAAAAATTTGAACTCCAAGTAGAATTACTAACTTCGAAAAGAACAAACTTCATAAAGTTAAGGTGATTTTCAAACCCTTTTTTTTTTTTTTGGGTCATTTTCCTTCACTGGTTCATAGAAAACCATTATTGGCATAACCAACTCGTAAAAATGTCTAAATGACTTATTCCTGGTTGGGCAGAAAATTCAACATCATTTCTCCATCAAAGACGACAGCAAGCAGGCTTTAATGAGTTTGATTTGTAAGCATGTACTATTCCCCTATCAAATTTTCATTCCCATTTTTGGAACTTTTTTTATTAGAGATAATCACTAGAGCTGGTCATATATAACCAGTGATGATATAAAGTGTAACTACTGTTTTCTATAGCGAGACGGGATAGCTGTACAACTGAACAATTCACCAATCAATTGCATTGAAAAAGGAAAGCCTGTTTTGCACTGAATGACCTCATGAACCTACAATACAATCCTTCCATTATTCTTTTCACTGTTTAGAAATTATATATTTATATTCATATGAATAATAAAACCTAGGCCAGGAGAGCGAGGAACCTAAGAAGAGACATTATTGTGACCTAAGCTGAGTTTTTTGGCTTAAGAAACATGCATACATTTCTCATTTCTTGTATAGTCTGGCCTTGATTCAAGTCAAAGAACCAGTAAGTAAACTCAAAGTACAACCATATAACAACACTAAACAGAGCAGGAAAAATGTTCATCTCTATACCTGACTAGGTATTTGTCTGCCATAAAAAACCGATGAAGTCGGGAAATCTGGATGATAGGATGGCAAAGAATGAATGTAGATCGAATAAAGCTTTTCGTTCCCCTTAAAAAACTTATCCCACAAAGGCGCCATTGGCAAAGGTCCTCTTGTCAAGAACATGAATGCAATCTTGGGAGTTCTCTTGAAGGGGTACTCTTTAATCCTAGGTACAAACGAAGCGCGCCAAAACAGCTCAGAATCATTCATAGTATGAATCAAATTCGATGGAGGCCTAATCCATTTTTCCAGAGCACTAGGTTCTTCAAAACAGGATTGAATTCTTGATTGAACCACAGGAACTACATTCTGGATCTTGAGAAACCGACTCGTATATAAACTGAGACATGAAAACACAATGCCCACTCCCAAGAAAAGCAAGAGAAACTGAAGCAATCTCAGTGGCAAATGCCTACTGGATTGATTTGTGGTTCTAGCATAAGATTCTTTGCCATCCTCCAGTGAACCAAAACTCCCTACTCTTGATTGCATCTTTAATTCAACCCCTCAAAATTATTCCTGAATCCACATTCTGAAAAAATCAGATTTTTGGAATATCGAGCTCTTAAAAATAGCTTCTGAGAATCACATCACCACATTGGTGTGTGATTCAGAAAATCACGAATTGTTAAAATAAAAACGAAAATCTTGATTTTATTTCACATGGGTATTCAAGAAAACCAGTAAAGAAAGCTTTATTAAGGGGGGACAAAAATCCAAAATTGAAACAAGTAATGTAGTAACTGCTCCTTACCAGTTAGGGTAGCTCCATTCTTGAAATATTGACGCAGTGTTTAACAAATCAAAAATCTTAAATAGAAAAAAAAAATTAAAAAAATGCGTTAAAACCCAAGATTCTGCAGCTGATTCAATCGGGGAAATAAAAAAAAGAAGGAATTCAGATATCATAGATAGGAGAGAGAAATCTGAGTTTTACAAGAGAGAGACAGAGATATGTTATATTTGTTTACGGTGGTAGCTAATAAATGCTCACGAAGGGATAGTCAATGAATCAAATTTATGATTCGTGACGAAATCAGAAACGTTAAGATTTAGACAATAAAACTGAATAATGGTGGTTCTTCACACAATTTGGGTGCTTGATTTTAGGCCCAAAACGTGAAAATACTGCTCGAATTGGGAACGTTTTAATGGGATCTTCTTTGTTCAAAATGCAGCATTCGTGGGTTGTTGTTTTGTGAACTAATTCTATCAAACTCAGTAATCAGTAGTGATGAGTGAGAGAGAGAGGGGGCTAGGCCGCTAGAGTTGGGGAGAGACTCGCAGGTGGTGATGGTGGAAAACCTGGGAAGATAAATTATTGATTTGTGTGTTGTCTTGTTGCAATTTTGAACTTTGAGAAACCTTTGCAGCAATTATGTTCGATAAAGCATCTTTGTCTTTGTTTAAGAGTAAAACTTACAATTTACTCTAGTAAACTTTTAAAAAATTTTATTCTGGAAAATTATAATGCCCTGTTTGGTTCAGCTAAAAATCAATTTTTTAGCACATTTTAATAAAAGTTATGAATTTTATAAATTGTGTGATTGAAAATAAGTTTTATAAAAAATAAATTTTTAATCTGAGGGCCAAACAAGGAAAGTGAATATTAATAAATAGTATTACGAAAGATTGCTCAAAGATATTTTTTTAATGAAAATTCCAAAAATATTATTTAATATATATATGTATAAATCTACATTCAACCTCATAATTGTGTTTACATAGAAAGTAGTGAAAACCACCATATTTTTAATGAAAAATAAGAAAAGTAAGTTATTGCGTTTATATTCTTCTTTTTCTTTTTCTTTTTTTATTTGGCATAAACTAATATTTAATTGCAGTTTTATGTTATACGGTAAATCGTGCAAATAACCATATTTTAAATTTAAAAAAAAAAAAAAAGAATACTATATGTTTAGTCCATCATTAATATGATATTGATCATTATAATCGAATATTAAATTCTTATAGGTCTAACTCGGTGCAGCAAGCGTAGCCTTGAAAGTTAAAAAAACATTGGAGATAATAGATTAAGAATAATGTTATTTGTATATAATGGTTTATGTAGCAATGAGATGTCAAAAATAGAATAGGAAAGTTTTTATTTAGTTGAAAAACTTCTGATCCAATCATTTCTATCCACATCATGTATATGTAAACTATTATGTACATGTAGTACACAACCAATCAATTAATACTCTCCATAAAACTATCATCTAAGATTTCTCATCTCGTATTAGGCTACTCTCTATACTCGGTGAAGGGGTGATCTGGGAGAATGTAGTTTTTTGCTGTGTTTTTTCTTGTTTTACAATTTGAAACTTGAAGCTTTGAGTGATTGAGGCTTTCTTGCTATTTTTCATGGAATATATTGTTTTTCACAGGATTTTGAGTCGAAGCAAAATGCTTCCTTTGGGATGCCAAAAAAGAACCAAAAATAAAAATAATAAGCTAAATGAAAGCTTTTTAGAAACAACTTCAATAGACATATTTTGTGCAGGGAAAAGAGCGGGATGACTCAGGCATGTCGAAAATGTGGTGAATTGGGGCACAATAGGAAGAGCTACAAAGGGGAACCACCACCAGCACCTAAATAAGAATAGTCTGTTAATTTATTTATTTTTTTGGTTTTTTGTTAAACGCATTTGCAGTGCATTGAGGGTTGGGCTAAATTGTAAATTTCTTTTGTTGATGTGTCTGAATGCTCAATAGTTTAAGAGACTAAAATGTTGTGTCTTACCATACATATCTTTTTTTATTGCCGAGTCTTCATTTTGCGTATTTTTTATGCAAATTCGCTTGACTCTTAATGTAGTTGCTGAGTTTTTTTGTTCTAGTATGTTGAGTTGCTATCTTTAAATTGTAATTTGATCAGTATGATGAGATGCCTTGGTTGATTTGTGTCTTAAGTTGCTGTGGTTGAACGGGATGCTTATAGGATATGAAAGGGATGATTTTCACATAGACACGAAACGTAGGGACATTTTTTGTAAGACCCTTCGAAACGTTGGGATGTTTTACACAACACTTTGAAACTTTGGGAGGTTATGCGCAAAACAATTTAAACATATGGATGTTTTGCACGTGTTCAATTTCGGGGAAAAAACAAATTGATAGCTTCAATAATGATGCTGAATTTTGGGATTAGGTTTTATGATTTTCGATATTGATTTACTGTAGAGAGTATTGGCAGACGAGAGCAGGCATATAAGCCATAACTGAAAAATGGTAAATGCATCAGCTTGGGTGATGATGAATAGTTGACTTCAAATAATAAATGCAGAGTCATTTTAGAATTATGATTTTACGCACAGCATTTCAGATTCAAGAACTCGGAGACATAAGATTGCTTCGTTGTATTTGATTAATCTTCATACTTGCTTATTACCGGTTCAGTTCTTTTTATTTTTATTTTTTGAGAATAACCTGTTTATGGTGGGAAAGAAGAGTTATTTGAAGTGGTTAGACCATTTTACCCTTCGAGTTTTAAAATAAAAGGTGAATCTATGTGTGTATTTAACGGTGGAACTAACAAAAAATGGATGAAATGATGTGTTCCACAATGAAATTTTGAAAGGGTGAAAATGCAAAAATTTAAAATGTAAGGACATTTTTTACATTAAAAGTCAAACGTAGGAACATTTTTTGCTAATATCCACTGGCACCAAATGATCTGTTTTTTTTTTTTTTTTAATCCTTGATTTGGTTAACTTTTTATCAATTCACACTTTTGGTTTCTACTTTTTTTCCTTTGAAACTTAACTCCTTGATCTATGATAATGAGAGCAATTTCATCCTACTTCATTGTTTGTCTGAAAGAGGGCTTAGTGAGGTTTAAATTTGTTGTAAAGTCAAATTTTACCCTTAATTGACACCAAAAAAAAAAAAAAATGTTTAAAAAAAAAAAACGATCGTATCCCCTACTCCACGCCCAATCGTAGGCCTTGAGTTCCCATCAATCACATTTGATATTGTGTTCGGAAGATGCAATCTCAATATTTACAATTTCACTAGGTAGTCCATCCAAAAAATGATAATTAATAATGATTTTGACTTGTATGTAATTTTTATCTTCTTAGATACTTGGGGGAAAAAAATCTAAATTAAGCTTCTATTTGTTTACCATTAAAAAAAAAAAAAAGAGTTTTGAAGTAGTGAATTTTTTAAGAATATGTGGTTGGAAAATAGAAAAAATGTTTTTGATTTATATGCATAATATTTTATTGTGAGAATGTATTGTTGAAAATAAATTTGTTTATAGGAGTTGGAAAAATCAGTGTTTGTTGTTTTGTGCGCAGGTAACCACCTAAAATCAGTGTAATATAATTTGAGTTATATTTGTCAATACATCAAATTAGATATTTTTCAACTTCTTTTAGTTTCTCTTTCAATTTTTACCCATCTAAAATAATTATCTTATGACTATTACATTGTTTTCAAAACTGATGGATGTCATCTCTTAAAAGTATTTAGCATAAAGAGGTTAGGTGTAGGGTTGACAACGGTTCAATTATGGATCGGTTCAGTCAAAATCATAATCGCACCACTAATTTTTTGATCATACCATAATTGCACCATAACCACGTAAATCGGTTTGTATCTCGATTCGACACAGTTCGATTCGGTTAATAATCATGAAAATAAATTATTTTTTATAGGTTCATCCGTCAAATTGATATAAAACAATATATAAAAAATCAATTGAAAAAAACAGAATATTCCAAACGAAACTGCAAACATTAGCAAATAATATTCCAAACAAAAGTACAAACATTATCGCAATTTTCAATTGCAAAATACAAATTTAATAAACAATATTATAAATATAACAATAGTAAAATTTTCCTTCATTCTTAATTGCTGTGTATCGAAGTTACTTGATTCATTCTTCCCCACAAATCTTATTAACATAGATCAACACTCAAAGTTGATTCCTATTTAGTAAATAAGAAATGTAAATAGATAATACAACGATACTGTCTATTCAAAAATGGTCTTAACTAAGATTTAAATAAAAAAATGTACATTTTCGTCAGCTTCCTTCTCGCTAAACGTTGTACAAGCTCTAGAGTATGATGAAGGAGTAGAATTTTCTACACACAATAGAAAAAAATTAACAATAAAAGGAAGTGTATAAATAACAAATATAAAACAATAAATCCTACCATGAATATCAGTCCAAAGCCAATCCCAACCACACATGAAAGCTTCTAGAGTCTTCGGGTGAAGCCTATTTCTATATGGACTCACAAATCTTTCACTTGTACTAAACATTGACTCCGATGCCACAGTAGATACTGGAATGATTAATAAATCTCCTGCAACCTTCTATAAAGTCAGTGTATTTTACTGAATTTGCTTTCCACCATGTCAATAAATCAAAACCAGCCATCCTTGGCATACTGGCTTGTCTAGAAAAATGTCGAACTCTATTTTTACATGATCAGCAGTAATAGAATGGCCAACAAATATAACAAATTCTCGAAGGCGACGACGACTTGGACCGTGGAAGCAGTGGAGCCGTGCTTGAGTTTGTGATTTGTGGAGCATAGGTTTGCATTTATATACTGTCATACTAATGCTATTATTATGGGCTAATGGTAAGTGGGCTGGTTGGCTGAGTCAAGTAGATGTAATGGGGGATTTTGTTTTGGACTAGATAGAAAAGTAATGTAAAGCCCAATAATCAATTCAATTATCTTTTTTTTCTTTTTTTAGCAAGTAATCGATTCGACAGCGTAAATATCATACCCACACCGCCACGAACCGGTTTATTAAAATCAAAACCATATCCGCCCCATTACACCATCGGTTTGTTTTTTTTTTTTTTTTTGCCTCATTCGATTCGGTTAACTGCAATTTTCAATTTTGACGATTCAAATTGTCATCCCTAATTAGGTGTTTGTTTTTCTTCATTGTAATAGAAATTTATTGACATGCAAGAGTTTATTCAAAGCAACAATAATTAGATCAAAAATTAGTACATACACAATAGAAAATGACTGCGTAAAATATTTAAATTCGTATTGAATTATAAGGTGTCATACACATTTATTCTAGATTATTTGCACATAACTATTTTTTTACGTGGACATATATTTAATTTTATTCTTTTAAAAAACTTTCAAAACTGCTAGATAATAAATTTCTTACTTAGAAAGGGCAACTTACACAAATACACATAAAGGCTAAAATCAAGGATCTTTTAAAATATCAATGAAAAGTGTTTTGACATAAAAAATACTTTATAAAATCAAATTACATATGTCAGACATTTTAAATAAAAAGTGGCATATCATGCCCCTTTCTTTATCATGGAACCTTAATTCACATCTAGCAAAACAAA